CGAATATCAATTTTTTATTTAAAATTAAGTAATATTTATATTAAAATAAAAAATTGATGTTTAATTATTTAAAAAGTTTATACAAAATGTATTCAAGTATGCTTCAGTTACCGTCAAACCATTAAGGACCGCGAATATTTAAAGAAGAAATAAGGGCTTGACTATGGATTCGAATCACTGTTAAAAAAGAGTAGTGTTAGTGCCACCAGCTACTTACTTACTCGACCCAACAAACCGACGATTTAACAACGTCGAAGCTGCAACAGAACATAACAGCCACACATCCAATTAAATCCATTTAACTTCATTTTTTCAATTGGTACTTAATGTTGTTGTATAGAAAAGTATTAAACAAAAAGAAATACGACTACTGAGGAAAGGAAATGTAAAAGTTCGAATCATAAGGTACTTCATAGCGCGAAAAAATCGGTTTTCGATTTTTTTAGTTATAGCGCATCTCACCGAAAAATCTAAGAAAACATTGGGTGTAATAGTTGGGTTGAGGCACGTCTACCATAAAAATATAAATGATGTCGCTATTTATATGAAATCAGCATTTCTTTATGCATTTTTATTTTTCCCGATCAAACTATGCAACGAAAAAATGTGAAAAAGTCTCTAATATCGAGTATCGCCAAACATGTGAGAATTTTGTTAGACTTTGTGCTAAACGTTTAATAAGAGAAATATGGCAAAAACGATAAAACTGATTAACCCTCATAGTTACCCTCCGAATTGAGATAGAGGGTTGAAAATTGAAAACGTTTGCTTTGGATTTTCTATCGAATGACTCATTGCAAGTTGAATTTTGTTCAAGGGCACATTTTACCATCTTATCCGGCTAGACTTCTCTTTATTTCTTCATTGTTATTGCAATCTGCAACCTAAAACACATTTTTCATAACTCGAGGCCAAAAAAGACCATTTTCGACGCTTATAAAGTGGACCGAAAATAGAGTTTTCCCGCCCTAGGGCGGTAAAATTGAGCTTACGCCCTAGGGTGGTAAAATACAATTTGATTTCTAACCCTCTGACGAACATATGCTATACATATCAATGTACATATATGCTGTATATGTCTATTACATATATGCTACATATATCTACATATATCTATGAATATGCTATATATATTTACCTATTTATATACACATGTATATACCTATATATACATATATATATACTTATATATGTACATATACATACATATATATATATATACTTATATATACATATACATACATATATATATACCTATATATACATATATATGCATACTTATACAGGGTGTCCCAGAACTAGTGTTAGGCCTTGAAATGGGGTGGAGCCATGGTGATTTTAAACAACTTTTTCCTTTGCNAGTGTAAAAGTGACAATTTTTGTTTTGTGAAAATTTGCCAGTGGGAAAGTGACAATGATCATGATGATAAGGAAAAAACCATCGGGTGCAGGTCACTGACTTACTCCAAGCATCAGCTGCTGCGAGCCATGTGTGCTATCTTCGAGTGCCGAAGGTCGACCCATTGACGTTCTTCTACGAGCAGTTGCACTGACCAACGAAGAAGTAAGTTCAACTCTGATTTTTTTCGCATTTTTCATAATTTTACGTACTCTGTAATTTGTAAATTTCTTAGTTATTTCATTCAGTATGTTACATTCGTTCAGCGAACGTAATTAACCACTAATCTCTTTCTTTTCTTTCACATTTAATCAATTTGTTAATTCATTTTTGCATGTAACATTTCTTTCATCTTGTGCTCCCGTCACGAGCGCGACGTACGGGCGCGACAACGCACGAGGCGGTTATCTCGCTCCTGCCCGCCTTGTATACTCGCGCTCTGATTCGTCGAGAGTTTTTGTTAATAACTCGACTACCACGCGTCGGAAGACTTTTTTGCAAAGGAAAAAGTTTTTTAAAATTACCATGGCTCCTCCCCATTTCAAGGCCTAACACTAGTTCTGAGACACTCTGTATATCTATGTTCGTAATGTACATCTCGCTATCAGCGCCGATCGCCGTTAATACCTAATTACCGCGCCCTATTCGAAATCGTACTTATCTTACTTTAATGTACATATAACATCCAGATTCGTTCGACTCACGCAATCAGCACCAAAATTTTCAACCTTCTTTCCGATGATGCCCGAAGCCGGGCGAGTTTAAAATTCGTCTCGTAAAATGTTCTCGACAATAATCGTACTACTACACACACACATTAATAGCGTAGGCGTATTTCACATTACGCTCCTGCGGGAACCGTGCGTTCTTCTGTTATCTTTCCAACAATAACTTCTTAGCCGTTATCTTGTGGCAAGTGCGTCGCGTAAAGGATTAACAAGCTTAAGAATTTCATTGCGTCATTCTGCGCTTAGTGCTTTAATGTGGATTGTGACTGTGTGTTTCGTGTCTCGTGGACACTACGGACGGGATAATTTCGGTGCATGTGTACTCGTATGAATATTTCATTTCGGTGCGTAGAAAAAGCCATTCACCCTCTTGACTCGAAAATCCCATAGAGCGAGTTTCGATGTGCTCTTGCGGATTGAGCGAGCGATTAGGTTGAATGTCAGAATACATTGTTTTAAAATAATTTCCCATCTCTAGCACCCGAGGTAAACCCATAAATTTCTTATGGGTACGATCCTACTTACGGTTATCAACATGCATCGATCGGTGGTGATCAGCTGAGCGTATGCTGAAAACGTCTGTCGATGTAAGTCGTATTGTCAATTTTAGGGACAATAACATTGAATTTTTAAATGTTAATAACCAATTAACGAAGCCCCTCTTTATTTTCGTCTTATTTTCGACCATAAAACACGTCCTTAAAATATTGCCCACTAGTAGGTTTACATTACATGTATACGTAAAAAACATGAGTGACCTTGAAAAAACCATTAAAAAGTTACAATTTATAAAAACAATTATTGCATGTGATTCACCTCTTAAAACCATATAGCTTACGTCAGAAACATTTTTTGTATGTTTAGAGATAGAGAAGATATTTAGATGGCTTGTTTTAAACGAAAGATCCTACATAAATATTTGGCAAACGCTTCCTGCGATGGTTGAAGAATTTAGAAACTATACCAGAGCATGCCAAATGTGGCGTACACGTAATGAAAGACATGCGAGATAAGATCCTAATCGACGGCAATTCCAATAATTAGACCAACGTTTTGGAGATGGAGATTCACTAATGAATTCCATTAATAATTATAGGAGAACTGGTCGACCGTGTGTACATTGGCGTGTGGAAGATCAACTCATTACACTTGCACAATCATATCTGTTTGAAGATTGGAATGGTGCAGGGCTTAAGAGCATTGCTCGGCCTGCAGTTATTAACTTAATCCGTGTTTCGAGAATTCGATTACGAATTGTCGGAAATATAAACACACTTCAACGGAATACAGACGGTTTCCGGGTATAAGAAATAGTATAACATTTCTTATGCTCAGCGCCGCGATGTAAACACCGCTCCACTCGGTAAACGTCAGGCCTCCTAACGGCGAGTTAACGAGATTTTTCGAATACGAATTCTCGAAACAAGATGTTTCTCTTTCGGAAACACCGTAATTAGAAAGAGATCGAATGTATTCGATTTCTACGCCGCATCGCGGCGAAAGAGTCTTCGTGGTAAGGAGACGCGAAGGCCCTCGTCATTCTGTTTTCGACTTTAAAGACGCTCGGTTTACAGATTATTTCGGCAAGAACGATTATCATTCGACCGGTCCTGATCTATTACGAGTGCATTCTAATTCGTAATTTGAGAAAGTAGGTTCCTGACGTTCGCACTGATTATCAGTGTCGAAACAAGGACACGTCTATTTTATACGTGTCCGAGTCTCGGACGTTCCCGTGACCCTTATAGCTCTTGTACGTAGCTCACCGGTTATATTATTCCGGTAGGGTTCTTCAGGATATGATCCGGAGTATTTCTGCATCGGGCCTGATCATAGTTTGGCGGTCAGATAGCCCTCCCGGTCAGAAGCTCCTTGACGAAGTCCGAAGTATTCTGTAAAGGGGACTGATCATAGTTTGGCGCCTTGCAGAAAACGATCGTAGGTTGCTTCGGCGCACCGAACCAGTGCAACATCAAGTCCTCCTCACTTGATTAATCGTGAGTTGAGTTGACCCCGAGACGAGAAATTATTCTCGTCTCCACCATACAGTCCACTCTCTATTAACAACACGCAAAGGACCTAGCTGGATAAGGGGGTCAAATGTGCCCTTGAGCCGAATGAAGCGCCGTTTGCGCCATTCGATAGCATATCAAAAAAGAAACATTTACTCCAATTTTTAGCAATATATCTCAACCAGGGGGGGAGTAATCGAGAAAATTCGAAAAATCAGTTTTTTGAGGTTTTTCCTTATTTAACGCCTTGCGAAAAATCTGAAAAAATTCTGACATGTTCGTAGTGTAGTTGGACAAGTCTGAGAATTTTTTCAGATTTTTCCCTTGCAAAATGTAGCCGTGAAAAATAAAAAAGTGCTAAAAATGCCAGCCCTTTGTATTAAGAACATCTTTTGAAATAAGACTTGTTCTAAATCGAAAAGGAATCCATAAAATTTGATTGAAAACCTTAAACATTAAGACAGTTCGAAGGAAACAATCAATATTCACGAAGCAGTGCAAAATGTCGAGTTTACGTGTATAAAGGGTAACGTGGTATCTGTGGGGAGAGCTTCTGATATTGTTGAAATAAATAAGCCACGTGTTCTTTTCGATCGTTTATTTCACCTCACTTTTACGAATCGTTCTTTTCTGTATGAAACCACGAGGCGTTCGGAGGTAACACTTTGTGCTAAGTATTTTTCCGTTACAGTGTAGAAAAAGGGGAGGTAAACTTAAAAACTAATCTTACCAACTAAGTAACAACACAACTTACTAGCTAACTAAACCTAACGTGTCGCGGACCCGTCTAGGGACCTTTTCGCCACACTACTCCCCCCTGAGAGAGTTCAAATTTTGAACTCGCGAAATCCGCCAAATATACATCGAAGATATAAATCTACCTGAACGTAACTTTGCCTCGCGTGTACGTTCTGGGAGCGACTGCTGGTTCATCCGTTCTCTCCGCTTCGTAAAAAGCGGGTTTTAATCGCTCCGTTGAAACGTTAACAGTTCTACCATTATAATTAATTTTGAAAACGTGGTCAGTTACTCGTTCTAAAATTTCGAACGGGCCTTCGTAAGGTGCTTCAAGTGGTCTTTTAACCGCGTCGACTCGAATGAACACATGCGAACATGTATACAAATCTTTATGTATAAACGATCTTCTTTTAGAATGATTCGCTGCTGGCCTAGGTTTTACAGCTCTAATATACTGTCTGAATTTTTCCAGGAAGATCTGTGGATTTTCGCTTTCCTCTTCGCAGACGAAAAATTCTCCAGGTAGCCTCAACGGGGTACCATAAACCATTTCGGCTGCGGAAGCTTGAATGTCATCCTTAAAGCTGGTTCGGAGTCCCAGCAGAACCGTAGGCAGGATCTCTACCCAGTCCTTAGTTTGGTGACACATGATAGCTGCTTTTAACGATCTATGCCATCTTTCTATCATTCCGTTCGCTTGCGGATGATATGCAGTTGTTCGGATTCTATTACACCCGACCAATTTCGTTAAAGCTTCGAACAAATTAGATTCAAATTGAGATCCTTGATCCGTAGTAATTGACACTGGGGCTCCGAANGGTTGAGATATAGGGCTAAAAATTGGAGTGAATGTTTCTTTTTTGATATGCTATCGAATGGCGTGAACGGCGCTTCATTCGGCTCAAGGGCACATTTGACCCCCTTATCCAGATAGGCCCTTTAATCTTTAAATTCCAAATTGGAATTTATTTCTACTTATTAAAAAACCTGTCTCCAAATACTCCTCCTCGAAATTCCGGACCCCGTTAGGTAATAATCTAACAATATCCAATAATTAGTTTACGTTACATTGTTTGTCGTGTCAATATCTTAGATGTGACAATACATCGTATTATTCGTGAAAAGGGTCTCTAATCCTTTCATATTCAGAAGGTTCAAGCTCTTCAAAATATTGACTATGATGTTCGGAAACGTTTCACTGAAGTAATGCGTCGGAAGTCACATAAAAATCAGAATTTTTTGAAAAATACTCTTTTCACAGATGACAGAAGTTTCTCTAATCACGATTTACAAAACAGGCAAAATGTTAGAATTTGGAAGTATCGATACCATAATACAACATTTCAATCGAGAGTGCTTTTCAGTTAATGTGTGGACAGCCATTCTAGGAAAGAGAATTATTGGCCCTATTTATCTTCCAAATTGTTTAACGAGTGAAAGTTACCTTACGTTTTTACGTTCATTATTATTGATTGAATTGCGTTTTATCATACCGTGCGAGAGGCATCCATATATTTATTTTATGCACGAAGGAGCACTAGCGCGCTTTAGTCGATCCGACCGGTTCGAAACTTTTTAAATTGAATGTTTATGGGTCAAAGTAGACTGGTCGAAGACCTGCACCAATCATATAGCCTCCGCGATCGCCTGATTTCAATCCATTAGATTTTTTCTTACGGAGAGAGATAAAGGAACTGATATATAGATCGGAAAACGAAATAATTGTGGAAGAATTGAAAATTCGAATAGAGTATATCTCCCAGCATTTACGACATATACCAAGTTTACATTAGCGAATTATAAACAATATTAAAAATAGATTAGACATTTTTGATTATGATCAATTATGTTCGACTTGGAAAATATGCCAAAGCACACAGTGCTGATAGACAACAGCACTATCAATACTATAAACAACAATACTATCTTGTATCACATCTACTATCAATTCTTACTTTATTGTAGAAATGTAAACCATTTTAGAGAAAATAAGTAGTACTAATAATGAAAATCTGCTGTTATTTTTTATGAGAATGGTTAATTCGTGGCTCCTTCGACCCACATGACTTCTTATCCCCATGACGTAGAATAAAATGCAATAAAAAATTGTTAACCTTGAAATGTCAAGTATAATTTGTTAAAAGAAGAATAAAAGCATTATTAACATCATTTAGGTTAAATTTCACTTATTGTTTGCTAATTTGCATTGATTACATATTTTCTTTTAACCTGAATCGATAAATATGATATATTTTTGTAAAAACGAGTTAAACTCGGTATTTGGTGTACACACAAACACACACACACACACACAGAGATAGATAAAGATGATAAAAGATGATATATGAAAGATTAAAAAATATTATCAGTATTAAAATTTTTTTAAATAATAAATTAGCCACATCAATGGCCCAACACTTGCAAATAACATATTTAATTCACTTTTTATAATTTAGAAAAAATTTTGAAACATTAGACACTTTTGTGTTGGGAATTTCTGAGTTTTTGCGTACTTAAACATATCTTTGTGCATTGGTACTCCTTGCAGCAAACTGCAAATATTATGCAAAAAGTATATTAAACTATGAATAATCATAAAAATAGAACTACGTATCTCTAGAAATGTAATAATATATTTACCTGTGTAATATTATTATCATCATTAGGAAACACTCTAGCCATGCTCTTTGTCTTGCTACACCGTTTTAACGTTATGGAAACATTATTATTAACATCATCGTTGAAAATCTGGAATCCTGTTCCTTTGATCGTGCTGCCAGCAATCGCACGACTGCTATCAGTTACTTCAACATTTAAATTTCCATCCAAGGATGAGCAGGCGCTTTTCCAACATGATTTATTGCTAAGCTTGCTTGTAACATTTAATTTTTTACTTCTTGTAGAGGAATGAATGTTTTCCTTTCCACTTGGCAATGAAATCTTTTCGTGCACATTTCTCGAATTAAAGGATGCTGTATTTTGCGTCATTACAATTTTTTTATCCCTAATGATGCAAGAATAATATAAAAAATACGACTTAGAAAAATATATGTTTATACAGCAGCATGCTAAGTTAAGGAAATATCAAATTTCGCCAAAAATGTTCATCTCTGCCCTGGAACTACGTAAGAATTCATTTTAAATAGCAAAGCTTCTTTTTCATATTTATATTTTATTTTCCTGACAATGCTTCTGAACTCGGATGCGAGGCAACTAAACTTTGTGCATAATTTTTGAAACTCACGTTTCTTAGTTGAAGATGTAATTCTATATATTTTGAGAGGAACTGTCTTCAAAAAAAAAAGTGTACTGTGCATTTTGAATTTAATGATTAAAAGTCTGCGGACATTATGCAAAATACATCTAGGGTACCAGATAAAAAATGCGTTTTACATGAAAATTTCTTTTATCATGTAAGCATTGTAATATGCAATCAACTATCGATATGTCCTATATTTTTATGCAATAGATATAGTGTTTTATGTTTTCTACATATTTAATTTTCTATTGAAATATATTCTAAGGCAAGACACATTTTAAAGATCTTCCTACTAGTTATTTTTTATACATTAGGATAATAATAAAAAGTAAACGTGATAATAATAAAAGAAGAGATCAGAATTCTAACAAAACGAACACAATGTAACTGTTATATAATGTAAGTGCCCAAGGAATAAAATTTTCTTTTCGTGAATGTTTCTACAAATAGTGAGTGTTATGTAATCATACCATCCCTTCCAATTTTGATCTATTGGTATGAAAAGCGACATTTAACAAAAATATGTTATTCAGCAAGTTATTAGTTCACTTAAGAATTAAAAACCATAACCTTTAAGTAATACATAACTGTATGAATCTATCACTAAAGGTATAACGAATATTAATAATTACAGTGTTCAACGCAGTACATTACCGAAGTACTGTATTTAAAATTTCGATGTGTTTAATGCAATATTACTTCGTAATTGTCCTTCTATGTACGTACATCAGCCACAACGTGCCAACATTTAATACTCACAGAGAGAAACTGAGAGTGCTCATGCCTTTGTTCTCTCGTAAGACCGCTTCGAAAGTGCTGCACCTTGCGGCCAACTGGGGAAGATGGTCCACCTTTAGCATGTAGCAGAACCTTTAGGAGAAATCTACCCTGTTCGGTTCCACCGTAGCAGAGATAAGAACCTCCAGGTCCACCGTAGCATATACACATTATAGGCAGTACCAGGCAGTATGAAGATGGGATATAGGAATATATATATATGTCGAATGGGAATGGGAATCGTTCGCTCGAGTGATAGCCGCGGTAGCTTGGACGGACGAGCAAGTTAATTATGTCAAGTCGGGAGATGTTTCTACTAATTTAACAATATGTAACTTGATTATATAAAAATACAAATTTTACTCGCAGAACCGCAGGTCAGGAAGTACACAGGGTAATGAAATTAAACGCAAGACAGATTTAATATGAAATTCGACATTTATTCAATAATTTTTTATTATAAACATCGGTCCGCGGCCGCGTCTTAAATCGACACTTTTAGCCGAGTGGATGAAATTTGTGTGCGTGCTGATGCGTCAGTGAAGCGAATTTTAAATTCGGCCGTCTTCGGACATCTTCGGAAAGAAGGTCGGAAACTTCGGTGCTGATTGCGTGAATCGAGCGCATCTGAAAATCACGGTCTCCTCTCCTCGAGGTTCGAAGTCTTCCAGGCTCGGCTCGGAGCCTTCGAAGCTCCGTGTGTTCGAAACCCAGGCACTTCACTTTTTTTTGTTTATTCGACAATTTACATAGTCGATGTATGCANTGCATACATCGACTATGTAAATTGTCGAATAAACAAAAAAAAGTGAAGTGCCTGGGTTTCGAACACACGGAGCTTCGAAGGCTCCGAGCCGAGCCTGGAAGACTTCGAACCTCGAGGAGAGGAGACCGTGATTTTCAGATGCGCTCGATTCACGCAATCAGCACCGAAGTTTCCGACCTTCTTTCCGAAGATGTCCGAAGACGGCCGAATTTAAAATTCGCTTCACTGACGCATCAGCACGCACACAAATTTCATCCACTCGGCTAAAAGTGTCGATTTAAGACGCGGCCGCGGACCGATGTTTATAATAAAAAATTATTGAATAAATGTCGAATTTCATATTAAATCTGTCTTGCGTTTAATTTCATTACCCTGTGTACTTCCTGACCTGCGGTTCTGCGAGTAAAATTTGTATTTTTATATAATCAAGTTACATATTGTTAAATTAGTAGAAACATCTCCCGACTTGACATAATTAACATATATGGGAAAATGGATTTGCACGACTTTCAAAATGAACGGTCCATCTGTATTTCAGCGAACTTGCTCGTCCGTCAAAGCTATTGCGGCTATCACTCGAGCGAACGATTCCCATTCGACATATATATATATTCCTATATCCCATCTTCATACTGCCTGGTACTGCCTATAATGTGTATATGCTACGGTGGACCTGGCCCTGATTCTGGCCTGTGCTACGGTGGAACCGAACAGGGTAGATTTCTCCTACAAAGGTTCTGCTACATGCTAAAGGTGGACCATCTTCCCCAGTTGGCCGCAAGGTGCAGCACTAGTATGGGAGACGCCAAAACGGCTCCATGAGCACTCTCAGTTTCTCTCTGATACTCATGATCAGTGGTCAGTCAGACATGAATAGGATAGTGTTGGAAACCAGAGATGAGGAAGGACATGACTGTTTTATCCGAGCCGATTTTTGACTGTTATAAGCTACCGCCTCTAACGGCGAACGTCCGTACGCCGGTATAGGCCGGTATTCACAGTCTGTGCTCGGGTGTACTTCCGAAAAGCCCCGTTCTCCGAATTGGCTGAAACTTTTAAAATAAGTTCTTTTTTTATAAGAATCATGATTGCAAAAGGAATTTTTGGCGGTTCGAAAAAAAATTTTCTTACTATTTACGTGCCATTGTCTATGTTACCGACGTAGTCACAACCGCGGGAACATGGAATGCAGCTTTGAAAGCAAGTTGAAGAATCTGCTATTTTCAATTGTTTTTCATGATTTTCATTTGTTTCAATCGCGGTTGTTGAGAGTCCAACGTAAAACATGGATCAGTCACGTGGATCACATTGTCATTGGTGTTTTATTTGCACTTAAATCGTCAGGAATCGTATAAATTAATAAGAGAATGAACGAGCCTGATAACGATATTGAATGGTTAAAAGAAATGGAGTTAATTCCAAGAGAAGGATGGTGTGGAAAGCATAAGAAGTGTATGATGTATCTTGAAAGCAGAGGATCCTTGGGCTATTTCCGATATTTCAAATTAAAGAAGTATGACCATTGTATTTCAACCGCAAATGATACATGGTAAATATTACTTTTAGTATCTACCTAATGTGAATCTTTCTATGTACTACGCCATCACCATAAATGTACTTGCATTCAATATTTTCGAAACGCATCCTCGTGAAGTGGTCGCTAAGAATTCTTTGGGAGTTATAATTTTAGTATGAAGGGAAAAAATGTGTCTCAATCTGGAGACTCTAATAAAAAATTCTAAATTTTGTGTAAAAATTTCAATTGGTTCGAAAATTGCCATTTAAGATACGAAAGTTGCATTATAATAACTTATATCTTTACACGGAAATTTTCATATGAGCAAACGCAGCAGGAATGCAGCATTATTGACAATGAAACA